TATGGCAAATTCTACATGCAAACACTCTCTTTTGAAGAAAAAAAACTCATTATCGCTATCAAGAAAAAAAAATCAATTTCAGAAATTTCTGATATTGTTCATAGGTCTAAAAGTGTCGTTCATCATGTAATTAGCAGGTATGAAACTGATAAAATGTTAGATACAAAATCAAAAACTGGCAGACCTCTAAAAACATCGCAAAGAGAAGATCAAAGAATTGTTAGAATATCTACAAAAAAACATTTTGAAACTGCTACATCAATTGCCCATAAATTTAATGAAGAGACAGTTAATAAGATCTCAAGGAAAACGGTTGCTCACAGGTTAAAAAATGCAGGATTGCATGCCTGTATTCCAGCTTTGAAGCCTCTCATTTCAAAGTGAAACCAAAAGGCACGCCTGGAGTATGCAAGAGAACATGTTGTTTGGACTGACGCACAATGGGATACAGTTCATTTCAGTGATGAGTCCAAGTTTACTATATTTGGTTCTGAGGGCAAAACTTACATATGCTGTAGAACATGTGAAAGACTATCTTCTTAATGTGTCAAGAAAACTGTTAAGTTTGGTGGCGGCATTGTGATGGTGTGGGGAATGATTTCATCTGCAGGAGTTGGCCCTATCATCCGTGTACCTGGCAATATCAATGCTGAGATTTACAAAAGGCTTCTTCAGCAGCATGTGGTACCAAGATTACACCATAATCTTATTGAATCCCCTATTTTCATGCAGGACAATGCACCTTGCCACAAGGCTCAGAAGGTTATGGCTTTATTTGAAGAAGAAGGATTCGCCCTAATGAAGTGGCCATCCCAGAGCCCCGACCTGAATCCAATAGAAAATGTTTGGAAGATAATTGGAGAAAGGGCTCAGAAAATTAATGTGTATAGTAGTAAGCTAAATGAGAAGTGTTCCATTTAACAATGGCAGGATATTCATATCATGAGCAGGCAGATATGATTTTTATATACGACTGCATGGCTGTATTAGATTGCATTTTCAGACCAAAGGCAACTGAGTCATCGAACCTTTGCTGCAGTTTACTATTACTGAGACACCATGTACTATGGATCGAGGTAAAACAAGATCCACTCATATGCCTGATCGTGAAGAACATATTCTATAGGCTGGTGGAGAGGATCCAGGTAACAGCACAAGTCAAGTGGCTGTAGCATATCGTATATCTCATGGTACCACATGGAGGTTTGCTCAAGAGCAGCTCCTGTATTCATATTATTTGCAACATATGCAGGGTCTTTTTCTTTTTCATGGGAAAACTTTTGCAGATGGTTTATTGTGAAAACTGCCGATCTGTTGCTTGTCTCTTCCATCTTTGTTTACAGATGAGACAATGTTTGGAAGAGTTGGAATAACAAATTTACACAACCAACATTTGTCGCATCCTGGGTATGACAATAAACTACGTCCGCATTCTGGGTATAGTGATAAACTACATCCGTGTCCTGGGTATGATGATAAACTACATCTGCATCCTGGGCAAGACGATAAACTACGTCCAACAGCAAGGCCACTGATAATACATTTTTGAAAAAATAATGTTGCCAGCTATATGTTTTTGAGGAAAAAAATATTAACAGAAATAGATTTTTGACAAAACAAAAATATTACCAGGAAAAAAAAAGACAAAAAGTTGTCGGCATTAAATGACCCATTGAGGTTGATGTACCGTAAAACAAACCAAACACCCAACATTGAATACCAGCATCAGTTTATGAATAATGTGTGAGCTGGGATTGTAAGTGACTGTCTGGTCGGTCCATATGTTCTCCCAGCATATCTTACAGGAGCTGTTTACAGGGACTTTATTTTGAATACATTTCTAGACTTGCTAGAGGATGTACCACTGCTAATATGAAGAAGCATGTGGTTTTTTGCATGATGAGGCTCCAGCATATTTTAGTCACATTGTTTATGATGGACTGACAGACATTTACTATGAAAGATGGATAAGTAGGAGAGGGCTGGTTCCATGGTCTGCACATTCCCTGCAAGCTCAATCCTTTGAATTTTTATCTGTTGGGCCACCTAAAACAACTAGTTTATGCAGCAGGCATTAATAATGCAGAGACACTTCATCAACATGTCATGGGTGCCCACAAAACCATTCATCACCACGTGGGTGTAGTTGAAATGATCTGCCAGTCAATGATTCAACAGGTGCATCCATGTGTAGAAGTGGGGGACATTTTGAACATTTGTTATAAATTTGCTGTGTTCAGGTATAATGATGGCCTTTATATGGCTATTTTACTGTGTCAAGAACCTGCCTTCAAAGTATGTAAAAGTATTTTTGATACACCCTGTGTGTGTGTGTGTGTGTGTATATATATATATATATATATCTCCAGGTAAAATGAGAACAAATGAAGTATAATTCCACTGTCAGTAACATTTAATTTAAAAGACTGCTCAATACAGAGTAGAGCTAAATATTATTTGTTATAGGAGATTAAAACAAAAACATGTTAAAAATCGCTACATAATTGCAATCGTGTTTCAACACTACAAATACATTTCCTTGGGTGATGGTAAATTAATGGTGAATGAACAATTTAATTTAATTCCAAAAGCAGAATACTTCCACTTTTAAAAAAAAACAAAAAAACAATTAAAATTAGGCTTGTGTGTTTTACCATGATTAACTAATCAAATATGACCAAAACTAAATTCAAAGAAATATATATATATATATATATATATATAACTGAGGTCAACACACACCAAGTGAAGACAGTGTGTTTCATGCTTGAATTTAATCTGGCATTTATTGGTTAATTTACTGTTGTGCCTTTTTATTATTTGTGTCATATTAATGATGCAACTGTAGTTGATTTCTACTGTGTATTTGCTGAATATCTAGTGGAGAGTGCTTGATGTGGGGAAGTGTTTGTGTATGAGTTTAATGAATATTTTTGTTGTATAGTAACTCATTTTTTTTGTTTAGAAGAACAATTGGTGCATAATTATACTAATATATATATATATATATATATATATATATATAAGACCTGTACAGATAAGTATAAATTGACTACAAGAATGTGTAAGTTGTAAACACTAAGTAACAGAGCCTTTGTCTATAGGACAGTTACTGCCACCATAGAACATAGATGTTTAGTGTGTAATTAAATCTTTACAAAAATCCAACAGAAATCTAGTGTGAACTTGGTATACCTGATGAACATTTGATGACCAGGAACCAATATTGGTCCAGTGTAGTGTATTCATGTAGAGCTATATTCATATGTAAGAATGGTCTTTTATTAGGAGCTTAGATTCCTCAGCAACAACAAAAGACAACATTGTGCATGTTGAAGCTTTGATTCAATATCATGGTTGAAGCAAACTTCTTGATATGGCAGGGAATCTTAACCTTCTGAAGTTGGTTGTCAATGGAATCAGAAAGTGTCATCTTGTTGGTTCCAAAGCAAGTGACTGAAGAACACAATATCCAACGTTTCTTTTCAGCTTTTGGAAAAGTATTGCAAACCTGGTAGGGAATTTCTGGTGCACAGTCATGGTTGATGAGACATGAGTGCATCACACTGTTCTGTTGATAGAGCTTGATTTCATGATATAGGTATATCTGTCATCATCACTTCCCCCCCCCCAGAAAAAAAATCTAAGTTCAGCAGCCAACACAGAAATTAATAGAAACTGTAAAAAGTGGAATACTTCTCACTTCCTGCTACAGTCTTTGTTATTACAATAAACTACATTTTGTAACAATTATAATAAACAGTATTAACAACATTTACTGGCCTGAATGTCCAAGATATATCATAGAAAATGTGTCCTCCAACAGGAATCGAACATATATCCTAAATGGAACCGTCATTTGGCCTGACTTGTACCATGTAGCTTCAGAGGGAGCATCTGGTTAGCAAAGTCAAATTACTGCTTTTCTCATTATTTTCTCCAATGATCATATCTACTCAAGGCGTACCTTAATATAAACAAATGACATCACATATTATAAAATGGACTAAATCTGACAATTATTTTAATGTATTTTCTGTTTATACATTATTTTTATAGAAACAAATACTTAAGTAAATGCTTATTTTCTACATATATTTTCTATGATATTTACACATTACTCCCTATATATTTATATACACATACATACATACATACATATATATATATATATATATATATATATATATATATATATATATAATAAATAAGAAATTCAGGCATTTAATTTGTTTTTTGGTGCATTTTGGTTTTACCATGATCATAATATTCACATCATTTTATCAATTTTTTTTTATTGCATTCAAAAAATAGGTACAGGGGCTACACTTTAATCTTCCTCAAAGTAACAAGAAGCTGTTTTTATACTTAAATGTGAGGGCAAAGTATGACAGTCGCATTTAATTTTTGGCAAGAGATGTACATATATATATATATACATACATACATACACACATGTTGGTAGTACTAGAAATTATTCAATTCCTTTGGTATTTTCCTTTTGTTGTTGAGGGTGGGGACACTTTATGTAATGACCTGACCATGTAATGGGAAAGGTGCAACTTGTTGGGATGACACCATGGAACTGAATTTTGGTTAATGATGACTCTGGGCAAGAAATGTTTAAGAATTCAACTTCTTCTATGTGCCATGCTCCTTCAGGACATGGGCGATCATGGCCCTCTATAACTTCCTCTCCCTTATATTTTTAATAATATTTTTCCTTTTGCCATTCATTCACATAAGCTGGTCAGGTAAGTGATCTGTTGCCTTCTCCCAGTCCCTTTTACCTTCAAAATGTAATGTGGGTGTCATATTCTGCAAAATGATAAAGGAGGTCTTGGAGAATCTGACAAAACCAAGGAATTCATAATGCAGAGAAATGCTTACCAAAATTTTGAGATTCCATTTCCAATGTTTTGAATTGATTTTCTGACTTGTTCTCAAGTTAAAATAAAAAATAAATCATTATCATTTGATATTTTTTTCTGTCTTTGCAGTTAGAGGAAGAAAAGCAAGCTTTAGTATTAGAAAATAGCATACTTGGAGAACAGGTACATATTCTTCAGAACCGATATACATGCCGACCTTCAAGTCAAGTACATTCTATGTATAGGGACAGTTTGCAGGTAAGTGGCTGACATTATAAAGGATGTATTGTTATTAATTTTTACCTCTTATTTTCGTTTGTTTGGTTTGGTTTGTTTTACGGCATATCAACCTCAATGGGTTATTTAATGCTGACAAGATTTTTATTGCTGGTAATATTTTTTTTCAAAATGTATTTCTGGTAATATTTTTACCAAAAATGTATTGCTGGTAATATTTCTTTTTTGAAAAATGTATTTCTGGCAGTATTTTTTCCCCAAAATGTATTTCTGGCAGTATTTTTTCCCAAAAATGTATTTCTGGCAATATTTTTTTCCAAAAATGTATTGCTGGTAATAATTATTTTCTTCAAAAACTCATTACTGGTAATAATTTTTTACAAAAATGTATCAAAATCTATTTTTACATTTTCATAGTGCTTTGACCCCAGTTTAGGGTTTAACTATTTGCCCATAGCTGGGATCCTGACAGGTGCTACCACCCTGGGTCAGGGTGGACTTGGGAACACCAGCAAATAAGAGGTGGTTCCATACTCCCCAAAACCTCCTGTTCAGAGGACTTGCTGCCAGATGTAGTTTATCATCTTACCCAAGATGTGGATGTTTTTTTATTTTCTTACACAGGATGCTCTTATTTTTGTTGGTTACTTATTACTTGTTGTAGTGACAGACATAACAGTACAAATTTGTCTGAAATGAAACAATTTCATGATCATTCACTTCTTTTCATCTTGTGTTTGCTTCTTTTTCTTGGACCCTGAATCATTGTACCACTCTAGAAAGTACATCCTCATTCTGCTCAAATTCTTTTAGTCTGTTCTTTTATTGTCCATTCTCCTCAGCTATGTTTTCTCGGATTCTTTCACACTCAGTAACCCTTTGTCTCTTAGTGGCTTTATCACCTTGCTTGGGGGTGAAGTTATCAACAAAAATCCTCATAAACTACTCTTCTTACATATTACTCTTACCACTCATATAACAATCTCCTTCAGTAACCCCTCTACCTTGTGTACCTCTCGGGCCTTGTTTAGAGTGAAAATTAGTATAAAAAAAAATCAAAAGTCCTTCTAACTGAAACTAATAACATTAACATTACTGATAATGACTAGAAAGGAATCAACTGAAAACATTAACAATCTTGGATGGTTTCTTCATAAATTTGAGCCTGTTGTGCATGTTCTTGTGATATTATTCTTCTTTCAAGTACTGCGTTCATTCAGGTCTGGAGCGATCGTGGTTCTCTACATCTTCCTTTCCTTTGTAACTCTTAGTAAATTTTGTCTCTTGTTATTTCTCCTAAACCCTGTCCCGCCATCCATTTACTAAAGCTCACTAAGTATGTTAAGCATTGTTTTCCGCTATCCGTCTTGATTTCAACTCTCCTGTGGGTATCAGATTTTCCAAACCCTCTTTCCTCATTATGTTCCCTAGAAATTTGAACTGTCATTTTCTGATGTTAAGTATAAGTTTCCTTTTTGTATTCATTTTCTATAAAACTTTGTTGTTGATCAAATATTTGTACCATGGTGTCCTCAGCATCCTTTTGTCGAAACACATTTCTTTTGCTTCAAATCTCTTCTTTGAGGAGATTGCCCAACATTTGCTGCTATATAGGAGGATTGATACTATGTAACAATTTCGCACTCTTTCCTTTGTTTCTCAAAAAATTTTTTCTGTATCTGTCTATATCTCTGAGATGAGGTATTATAATTATTTACATCATTTGGACTGTTATCCTCATCTTCATTGCCATATTCGCAATGTTTCGTCCTTCTTCAGGTGATTGGAATTTCAACCAGACCATTTATATCATCTACTGGGAGAAATTGTTCTAGTTCCACATGCCATACCTCTTCTGGATGTCTCAGTTATTTCCCTTTAACTCAACTCTCCAAGTTTTTTGTTTCACCACTGCTGTAGCCTGGCACTGAATTCACCACTATTTGGGTCTAGTCACTGGATCTATCAAAAATGTCGATAAGCTTTTAAAAAAACAAATAAATCAATCAATACTTTCTGTTGTATGAAGTTTATCATCTGGTAATGTATTCCTGATAATAATTTTTTTACAAAAATGTATTGCTGATATCAAAACCTATTTTTACACTTTCATAGTGTTTTGACTCTAGTTTGGGGGTTAACTATTTGCTCATAGTTGGGACCCTAACAGGTGCTACCACCCCGAGTCAGGTGGACCCAGGGACAGCAGCAATTAAGAAGTAGCTCCACGTTTTTGAAAACCTGATCAGAGGCCTTGCTGTTGAGTGTAGATTATCGTCTTACCCAGGACACAGATGTAGTTTATCATCTTACCCAGTTCGCCTTACTAATTGGTGTAAAAAGACGGTCTTTGAGTTGCTATGAGAAGTAACTGAAATTAAGATGAAATATGAATTTAAAGAATGCCATAATGATTGTTTGTGCTTTCTCTAAGAAACAGAAATAAATAATTTGATTTATTTTTTAAATTATTAAAATATCCAAATTATTTTATATTCTATTCATAAAATGAAAAGATGTTCTATGTAATTTCCATCGTTACTTGTAATCGAGAGAAGCACGAAATAAGAAATCAGAGAGAGCCGAGTCCAAATTCCAGTTGTGTTTGTTATATTCACTTACACAAAAATATCCTTGGAAAAGTTATGAATCTATCTCTTACTCCCCCAGCTATGGGTTAAATAAGAGGGCTGGAATCTGGAAGCATAACTATTTCAAAAAAGATTGTTAATACAAGATTCACTCATAAAAAAGAATAAGCTTTTAAAAAACAAATCAATCAATACTTCTGGAAAAAATAAAAAGAAATTCAGAAAAAACATGGTCAAAATTGGATATGGGTTAATCGTTTTCTTCTCTTTGTGCCGTGTCCCTTCAGGACGTTGGCAATCATGGCTCTCCACAATTTCCTGTCCTTTGTAGTTCTTAATAAATTTTGTCTTTTTGTTATCTCTCCTAAACCTTTTTTCCACTAACCATTTTACTCAATCTCATTATGTGTGTTTTGTGTTGTTTTTCTCTTTCCTTCGTGCATTCAATCTGTCCTGTGAGTATCAGATTTTCCAAGCCCTCTTGCCTCATTATGTTGCATAGAAATTTGAACTGTCTTTTTCTGATGTTAAATATAAGTTTCCTTTTTGTTTCCATTTTCTCTAAAACTTTGTCATTGCTAACATATTTGGATCATGGTACGCTCAGCATTACATTTCTGTTGCTTCAAGTGTTCTGAGCAATAACTTGCTCAAAGAAGATAAACTTACTAAATACCACCAGTAACAGCTAGTAACCTACTTGAAGAATATTAGTTATGGGATGGCAGACCCAGGACAAAACAGAATGATAAACGACAAAAAAAAAAAAAGTTGTGAAATCACCCATATCTAAAAAGACAGGACAGATAAAAGAAAAAAAAATTGACACTTGATGAGGAAAGACGGCTTGGTGAGTACATCACTTACAGGACATTTTGAAAGCAAGAGGGACAGAGAGTAAATTACTTGAAGAGTATTAGTGAATGAATGGCAGACCAATTTCAAAGCAGAATGCTAAAATGGCAAAAGATTCTGTAGGGCAACTAAAAACAAGAAGTTGTGAAGAGCCACAATCGCCCATATCTAAAAAGACAGGACAGAGAAAAGAAAAAAAAATTGACACTTGATGCCTTATGACATTTTGAACATTTTCTGAATGTCAAATGTCTTAAGAATTTAATAAATTGATTTTTTTATTCAGTCAGGCTAACATGGACATTCAAGAGTCTATAATGCCAACCATCATGGTCCTGCATCAAAGTCAGAAGGTCATTAGGGTGGCATTCTGTATCATAACATAGTTGGTCAATATAGGTGGTTGCTTGGTAACTGACTAATACATCTTGCTCCATGACTAGAGCAGTAGATCACTTGCAAGTTCTTGTTTTGCTCTCCAGCAGTGTCCTGCAAAGTGTATTCTGTTTTTGTGTAATATTGTAGAAATATCAGGGATGGGTCTATAGAGCTGTGATTTAGTTGGATGTTGTCTCCAAGAGATGTTAAGTATACCTCTCGGCATCCGAATGTAGGTTCCATCAAGCTTAAACTCTAGAGTATTTTTTACTTAATATCCAAGCAGTGGCACCAGACATTAACACTACCTCTACAGTGGCTTGAAAGAATCGCCATTTAAGGTTGTCTGGTAGATCAGATTTCCAAATTACATCTATTTTATTCAAGGCAGCCCAGGCTTTAGCTATGTGAATTTTCACATCCTTTTCAGTAGAATTTATTTCGCTTCTTCAGTATTTAAAAGATTCAACAGATTTTATTGATTCACCTGAGACAGTTTGTATTGAGCCTTGTTGATTGAAGAGGCTTCAACCAACAAGGTTTAATACAAAATATCTCAGGTGAAAAGAAGAAGAAGAAGAGGGAAGTGAAAAAATAATAAAAGAGAAGAAAGAAAAAAGAAATTTAATAAAGACAATTTTTTTTGCAACTTGAGATAGGACACAAATCTATCTATCTATCTATCTATCTATATATATATATATATATATAAATAAATAAAACAGAGGATGTCTGTGTGATACCTCTTCACTTGAGATCCATCCAACCGATTTTGACCAAACTTGGCAGATACATTGTACAACATAAGAGACAGGTTCTTTGCATAAAATATTGATAATTTTTTAAAAATCAATAATTGATAAAGCTGATCAAAAATCAATAAATTCAACTTTTTCCTCCAAATTCATTCAAACTGTGTATGTCAGTTACTTCTCTCATGACAAGCTCAATGATACCTCATTTTTATTTCTCTGACACTGAGTTTAGTGAAAAACTGCAAAAAATGAAAAAATCAATTTCATCAGAAATTTTAAACTAAAAATTTCCTCAATTTTCAAGTAATCAAATACAAACTTCACTCAATTGTAGCCAACAGTAAATTGATTGTTTAACAGTCATTTAACTTGATAACTGAGTTCACTCATATCGTGAAAACACACGTAAATAGCGGAATATGGCAATTTTTACTAGTTTCTTTCTTATTTTTGGTTGATCTTTCAACCAGTTTTCATCAAACTTAACAATTGCTTTATAAATGTATCCTTTTTTTATATCCCTGGTTACTCACTGGCAAATTGAATTTCAAAAACTCCAAAATAATTGTGATCTTGATCTTGCCTGTTTTACTCCTTCATGTTCTCAGCTAACTTTGATTGAATAAATACAGACAACTTCTGTTTTATCAGTAACTGCATTAATTCAAAATGTTTTGTAATGAAAGTACTTTAAAGTTATTAAAGAAGATTGACTCTGTTGCGTTTAAAAATCATGCTGTTTTTGCTCCATTCTAATTGAACACTTTTCCTGATCAACTATCTCGGTATGGCTGCTAGTTTGTAATATAACATCTTTGCTCTCATCAGACCTGCATTAGAATTGCTCAAGAATGTCAATGAACTTCCTTTGATTTTGGTGAGAGTTGCTGATTATTTTTTTCAATTTAGAGCAAAACCTTATTAAACATTTTATTTCTTAATCAAATCAAACACATAGATCCTTTTAAAACTTGAAACTTACATCAGAATTGTGAGTTTGAAACTTTAAAATTCAGGAAAATTTCAGAAAATAGTTCTCCTTTGTTGACACAGAATGAATCTGTTATAGTGGAACACACCTATTCTATAGTTAATAGACTCTCCCACCTATAATAAGTAGGAGTAGTAAGCGTAACAAGTCAGTCGCTCAGTGGGTTGGTCAGTCAGTTGATGCCGGACGACCGTTAGTCGGATACTAAAGTATCAGCGACCACAACTAGATTTCTCTGCGTCATTACCTATTATATCAAGTTCTTAATGTTTTGTATGTCGAACCTATTTTAGGACTGACTTAGTACAAATACAAGCCTCCACTGTGAAATCACTCCATCACAGAATCCAATTTCATTCTAACCATATCGACAGATGTTGTCATCATTCAGCAAATAAAACTTTATCTTCCAGTAAGCATTTATTTTATATACTTGTAAAATATATATGGTGAATAAAGTGAGATGCATTGTATACTGTAAAGATGTCTTCATTGGATTTGAAGAGGTTATTGTATGGAACAATAATGATTTTTCGATTGAGGTAAAGGCTGGAATTTAAACTCAATCAAACATGTTGATTTCAAATCCAGAATTATTCAAGGATGAGGCAGATGTAAAGGACAAGGAAAAACTTATGTTAATTATCTGAGGAGAAACAACAAACAGACAAAAAACAACCTCTCTCTACCAGTTGGTGTATTGGGAAATTCAATGTTGATGTTGTTTGTCCGAGCACAGTAGGTTTTAGAAGATTGTCCAAAGAATTCTTTGGATGAATCCTTTCAAATTATTATTTATAACTCAATGTGATAATTTGGGAATTTTGTTTGTCTTGCTGGTCTTCTACACTAATTTCCTGAAAGTTATTGAAGTTTTTGTTTGGGGAAAATTCTTGCCCTAGGTGGCCTTTTGATCTTCCTTCTTTTTTTTTCATTCAGTGCAGAATTCTATTCCGAATCTCATTCTTCCAAAATTATGTTTGGTCGCTTATAATTCTGCTATCTTCTTCAGATCCATGAAAATTAGTTTCAAGAGAAACCAGAATAAGAAAATTTTTCTCATCTCTCAAGTCGGCACCTTTAAAATTAGCATTTTCAATCCATAGATTTTTTTAGCACTAATAGAAAAAAAATATCTCTCTATATTTCTGAGATGAGGTATTGTAATTATTTACAATATTTACATTGTTCGGACTGTTGTCCTCATCTTTCTTGCCATATTCACAATGGTTCAGCTGTTGTATGCTCTGGCCTTCTTCAGGTAATTGAAATTTTTGAAATTCCAATCACTTGAAGAAGGTCAGAGTATACAATGGTCAAAATGTCATAAATATGGTAAGAAAGATGAAGACAACATACCAAACATTGTAAATAGAAAAAAAAAGTGTTTTTCAGTTCCAACTTCATTCTTGTTTCAGCTAGTTTTTATTATTTAACTCTTCGTGTGTGTGAGGTGGATTTAGTGTCATCTTCCTTTTATATTATTCATTGCAGAATATTACAAACAGGTTATTTTGATTTGGCATTCTGTTCCATAGATTTTCTCTAAAAAACCATGAAATTTTCCATTCCACAAAAGAAAAAAAAAATTAAAACAGATTGTCAAAATGATGGTTTTCCCTTGACACCACTGCTATTTTAACTACCTTCACTCCTTGGCAATGTTTGTCTTAAAAAGTGATGATCAGAATTGTAATAAAACCGAAACATATGATCTAAGGGAATTTATACTTTTTTATACTTAGGAATTTACAACAAAAATATTAAATGCTGTTCGATTGTTTATTTACAACAATTCTATGTTTACAACATTCTAAAAACTAATACAGTTAGAACTAATGCCATGTTTATCATTTACCAATTTATAAAAAACAAATATGAAAACATTTTTTATTGATTAATTTATAAACTACTAAATTATTAAAATATGTGAATCAGCTATAAGGAAATCCTTATTATTTATCATTTTACAAAGTTTGAATCAATTGATAATCAGCCAATATTTTGCCAACCATTCGAATAAATAATATAATAAAAAGTGTTTATTATTTTTGTCGTCAATTCTCAAAAACAAAGAAAATGTATAAATTCATTTTTATGATTAAGTTTTATTCCAATTCTAATCATATTTTAAAGCAATTAACATTGCCGAAGAGTGTAGGTAGTTAAAATAATAGCAGTGTCAAGGAAAAAACCATCTTTTTGACAATCTGTTTTGTTACAGGCACAAAGGTCCAAATTTGGTCTGTCTTTTTTTCTCCTAAGAAATGGCTAAAAATCTTTTTTTTCTTTCTTTTTTATGCAAACTTAAGAGATAGAGTAAGATACATTTGCACAATAAAAAAAAAAAACCTATTCCCTGCTCAAATAAGTGCTGTACTGGTCACGGAGGTTTTGCATACCATCAAATATGGTAGTTTCATGGAACATTACTTTGATGGCTGGTTTAATATAGTTGTCTTTTTTTCTTTTTAATTGTCTTATTTATTCTTGACTTGCAGGTCTTTCGTTTTATTCTGATGCTTTTAGTAGACTAATAGTATCAGCTGTAATAGTATTTGAGTTTCTCGGATAAAGCATTGTCATGAGTTGTAAGAAAGATCTTAACTCAAAAGAGAAACAAGATATTGAAAAGTTAATGAGATAGAAATATAATCTTGGAAATTGTGTAAAATTTGAGAAGAAATGAAAGTAAAATCAAAAAAGAAATCGAAAGCATTGTGAAGATAAGAACAAGAAAAGCGGCTTTTAAAAGTCGCAAAAAATATTTTAGAAAACTTTCTAAAAAAATGAAAACGGAAATAAACAAAAAAAGTGGATTGACGAACAAGAAAATATTTGAAGAGTTTTTTGTTGTGAATGTAAAACAAGATATAAAATGAATATTAAGAATACCGTCTAAAGATTTGAAAACTATCACCTTAAGTAAACACGACAAAAAGATATGTATCTGTTGGGTGAAGGAGCTGACAACCCCCAATGGAAGGAAGCTTAACTGGGGGCCCCAGGTAGTGCTTTGTGACCCTCACTATCTGTTGTAACCTAGGGAAGGTTACTGAATAGAATAATCAAAATCAAAGGTTGGAAATCAACGATAATACTTAGGATAAGAACAAGATATTTAAGATTTGCCAGCAGCATATAGAAGTAGTTAACTGCTAGAAGTGAGTCAAGTGAATTCCACAATAAATCTCCAACTGAAAACCAGCATACAGTATTTACTACTGTATTTATGTGAATGGGGACATACCTATTATCTGTTTATATGTTTTTACCAGAGCTCATATTGCAATTTTTGTTGTTATTATCACTTTTCTCTAGCACTCCTTATTACTGGTTCCCATATTGTATTCATTTCTATGCTTGGTTGGCTCAGGTGATTTTTGTGGCTTAGCATATGTGCTGATTTCTTAAGTTTACGAATTTTCCAAGTGTTTTTTGTCTATGATCTCAACCTGATGCCACAGGGGGTGGTGATCTCCCTTCTCTCTCCATATGTGGTCAGCCACACCCGATTTTTCTACTTCCCCTTGTAGAGAGACATAATTGCCCACATCCTGGAGGGACACAGCTCAAGACAATATTTACATAGTTCATCATAAATGGAACACTTACTCAAATTTTTTTAAAAAATTTTTCAGGCAGAATCTCGCCCTGTCTCCTACGCAACCGGCACCACCCCTCCTCCTGATGATCTGAAACGGAGATCCTTATCCCCGACCTTGGACCCGCTGAGTGACCCTGGCCACCATGGAATGTCGGAGAGCAGCAGCAGTCCAGAAGGGGAGTTGACGTCGCAGATATCGGAGGGTGACAGTGAGAACAGTGTTAGTGAGATTGACCACAGCGTGGGAGGGTACCACGAGGTTGATCAGAACCATGAGAGTATCTACGAGCCAAAGCGTGTGTTCCCACCACAGATTAAGATAGAACGGAAGTTCTTCTCGGAACTGCAGCAGCTCGAGTCTCTCATAAGTTCCAACGGCAGCGAGGAGGTAAGTGTCTTTGCAAGGAAAAAATAAATAAAAAAAATAAATCAGTAATTTAAGTTAATAAATTGGTTTAAACCAATCCCCAATTTTACGGATACAATCTTTTTTCCCCATCTTTGTTGTTTGGTTTGTATCTGGATTTCTGGGATGAAAGGTTACCATTATTTATTTGCTGACTCTTGTCTTCATCAATGTTGTTATTATCACAGTGTTTTGGCCATTATGCTCTCTGTCCTTCATTAGATCATTTTTGATCAAGGTTACCTTCAGGGATTTTTAAACTAAACCCTTTATTTAATGTCTAGAGAGTTGGAGGTAGATTGTTCTCATTCTGCTGACCCTGTCTAGGGATATTTTGTCTCATTCATATTTAGTTCTGCTCAGTTATTTTTGGCTCCGTTTCTACTTAGTCAAAGTCTGAAACTTCCCAGGGCTTGAACTCACAATTACTATGCCATTATTTATCCTACTTACATTCCAACTATCATCATCATCTTTGTTCTTCTCATAATGTTTCAGTCATTGTGCCCTCCAGCCTTCATCAGGTATATATCAATCTGGGTAACTTACAGGGAATTCCAAATCCTTTATTCAATCTATGAGAGGAGACTGTTCCTGTTCCGCTGCCCATGTCTAGACATATCTCATCTAGTTCATATTTTTAGAACTGTCCAATTATTGCTCACCTCTTTCCACTGAGGTTGATCAGACCCATGAGAGTATCTACGAGCCAAAGCGTGTGTTCCCACCACAGATTAAGATAGAACGGAAGTTCTTCTCGGAACTGCAGCAGCTCAAGTCTCTCATAAGTTCCAATGGCAGCAAGGAGATAAGTGTCTTTGAAAGGAAAAGAAATTAAAAATAAATTAGTAATTTAAGTTAATAAAGGTTGTACCTGTATATTTATATGTATCTTGTCTAGTTCTTATATTTAGTACTGTTGCATTAAACTTCTTCAAATTTTTGATAATGCCAAATGATGTGCACACTTCTAGAAACTATATCTAAAGTTCATGTAGTATATTTGCAGAATAACCCAAAGGTGTGCTCTGTGGGTATTGAAAAAACACATCTGTTTCTGAGCAAGCATCTACAGCAGTGATTGGCTAGCTACTCTTTGCAGATATGAGATATAGATAGTTCTACAAACAATTTTTAAATTAAATATTAAATGAAATTGATTAATAGGCTCACATATCATTTGGCCTGCATCCTGTTGTATCCTTGAAGAGGTTACAGACACACAAAGGTGGTACTTGAGTGAAAGAACAGCAACATGTCTACAGATGAAAGAAAGAGAGGTTTATTGTAAAAGAGAATACACTACTGAAAGACAGGGAATTGGGTGGCAGGCTAGTAATTCTTGAAGCAAGCCCCCAGGTATATCCTGCACTCACTCTATGTATAGTTACTGATATAGTCAGTCCATATAGGGAATAAGGAGTGTGGGACATTTCATTACAACACATTCCTTCCATGTCTATTGAACAGGAGTAGAGGTTCATCCTTTGTTTCCTGTTCAAGAGATGGTCAATGGGTTCTCTTTCTTTCTCATACCACAGCCATAATGATTTAACTGTCTTAACTTTTTGGTTATCAGACTAACCAGTGGCTGTGACTTTCCATTGTGAGGTTAGTGGATCAGCATTACAGTAGCATAATATCGGGCTATGTATAGTGCCATGTTATGCATGGGTAGGTGTCCCTGCATGTATTTACAGTGGGCAACTATGAGGCCACATTATGCTCTGTTCTCAGCCTTACCCTGGCTGATTTGTATTGCCATTGACGACAGGTGGTGACAATTATAGTGTCTTTGTTCTCTCTCCTCAAAACAAATCTCATGGAAAACACAAAAAGAAATACAACTAAACCAGTAAATAAAATGCCACCTACCTACCTCAACCTTTCTTTCTCAAATATTCAGGGAATCAGTTCCAATTTCTGCAGCATAGAATCTTTTCTCTTGGAACAGCCACTAGATATCTTTGCCTTGTGTGAAACCAACTTAAATTCTTACATTGCTTCCAATGAATTTTTGTTTCCAGTCAATTTTCCCCTCTGCCAAAAAGATTCCAGCATTCACATGCATGGCCTTGGTGTCTACATCTAGGATAGTCTTCCAATGGCCAGAGAATTGTCTCTCAAGGTCCATGACTTTCATGTGTTTCCATCTTTTGTTACTAAATTCTGTCAGCTGTCTCTTTTTCTTTTATCGCTCCCCCTCTTCTCAGGACTGTAGTATATTAAATGCAATAGCTGATATCTCCATCTATCTGAAAACATCCTTGTCTTCCTGACTTTAATGCTCACCATGACATGTGGCTGAAACATTCTAAAGGTACTGATGTTGCCAGAATTCAGACATCAGACATTAAATTTTTTTTTTTCCATTGTGTATTCCCTTACTCAATTTGTGGACTTCCCTTCTTGTTTCCCTAGCAAAACCGAGCAACAGGCATATTAATTTATTTCTCAACTCCTCTCCTCACTCTTTCCAAGCTTTGCAACACTGCCCTCTTGGTAACTCTGACCACTTTGCAGTATCCATTGATATTTTGTTCCACTCATCCATTAATCAGGAACAACCAATCTATAAGACCTCTTTCCATTACTATCACTGTGATTTACTTTAGGGATACCACTTGGACTGACATCTTTAACCTCCCAAATTGAGGTTTCTTCCTGAGTCAAAGCCAGCATCAGTGATTTCATCCTTTCTTGGAAATACCAGCTGAAACCTCAGTCCTCTCCTTGTTTCACACCAGTACACTCAGCCGCAATAGCACACAGGGACCACTATTTTTTGGCTATGCCAGCAGGATAACTCTTGTCACGACAGGCACCTATTTGCTACTGCTCGTAATAAATCTAAACAAGTCCTCGAAGGAGCTAAGTCATTATTTGCTGAGAGAATGAGGTGCCACATTATTTTCAGCTATACCAGCATAACAGCTCTTGTCACAACAGGCACCTATTCATTAATAAATGTAAGTGAGTCCTTGAAGGAGCTAAGTCCCTGTTTGTCAAGATAATAAGGCACCACATAGCTTCCAATGACTTTGGCTCTTGTGATTACTGGCAGCTCTGTAATAGGGTATTAAATAAATGCAAGGTTTCTATTCCTCCCCTTCTCAATCATTTTGAGGGGTTATCTTCCTCTGCTGATAAAGCTGCATGCTAGGCCCATAAAGTCTACCCATGACTCATCTGGAGTATCCCAGCCTATTTTCCCCACTTAGAACTGAATCTCTGTTCAGTGTTATGCATATAACCCCTTTAGTAATGCCAATGAAACACATTCTTTATTTGGTTTTTCTCGTCATAAAAATCTTGTTAGACTATTTAATTTACTGATTTCTCTTATAAAACTAAAACCTGAGAAAATCATGTCTTGGTCTGAAGATGTCTGGGACAGATGTTGCTTTTTATTTCAATTTTATTTTTGCCGTACCACAAATGATTTGTTTGATTGAAATAATTAAGTCCAGGAGTGTACATGGCTCAGAATTGAATTTCTGACACTTTTGACGAGTTTCCCTTTCATTTTTTTCTTTTTTTTTTTTGCTTCTTATTGTACCAAAAGTAGAAGAAAAACTCATGAAAAATGAAGACAATGCTTTATCTCGGATATTTTGGACAAGTTAGAACTTTTTTTGAATTTCTGACATTTAAAGAAAGGAAAGCCTGTGGAAATTATATCCTTTCATTGTTTTGGCATGAAACAATATTTCTATTTTCTCCTTCCCATATGTTCACAAACCATATTTTTCAAAGATAGACCTGAAAAGTGCTCAAACTTGCCAAGAAGCTATTCCTATCGTAATACCAAAACATGAAAATATTTTGGTCTTGAGGTCCAATTTTGGGGAAGCAGGTTTGACTGAGTACTTTTCAGTGTTTACTTATGTAAGTTTTTTTGATCCATGGAAGTCATTATCTTCCCCACAAATTGTTCCTCTTACTGTGTGACACTCTACCTTGAGTAGCTCTTGGGCCTTGTAAACATCATTCTAAAAAAAATCCACATTATCTCTCTTGAGTAAGAGAAGAAGAAAACTAATTTTCTCATTTTACTAATTCAAACAACATATAATCAATTTATCTGTTTGCAAAGGGGTATACACTTTTAATCAAATTCTTTATTTCTGTGAACTTCAGGAAAGATTCTAATCACTTCGAAAAAAACAAAACTGTCTCTGCTAGACTTTAATTCTGCCATCTTTTTAAAAATATAACCTGTGGTAAAAAAGACACACACACACACACACACATTGACTAAATACTGATTTGGCCATGTATTATTATGTGTTATTTTAGATCAGTTTCTTTGTGTTGTCCTTATCACAGTGCTTGCGCCATTGTACCCATTGACCTTCTATCAGAATTGCTCTTTCTCTTTTATATTGATTCCTTCTGACCAATTGTCCTCGTTGTCTTTTGTTATTCCTGGCAGAGTGCATTGGTCTAGTGTAGTACATGGCTACAATTTTAGTCTATGAAACTAGTGTTACTGAAAAGTAATATCACTAAACAATTTAATGATCAGCAAGATAAGTTTTCTCTTGTCTTTTGGCAAGACCCTTCATTATTGAATATTGTTGCTTTTCCTATTAAAATATTTGCATGTCATATCAAAGTTACGGGAAAGTCATGTCACTTTTATATAACCTAAAACTTGATTTTATTTGTCTATGTTTCTCAGATGAGGTATTGTAACTATTTACACTATTTACATTGTTCGAACTGTTGACCTTATATTTATTGCTATATTCATCTTCAACATCTGTCTATATTTCTGAGTTGAGGTATTGTAATTATTTACACTATTTACATCCTTCCATATCTTCATTGTCATATTCATAATGTTTCGGCCATTATGCATTCCGACCTTCATCAGAATTTTGTTGGAATTTCAAACTGAAGCCTTTGTTTCATCCACCAGGTTATTTGTTCTAGTTCCACATGCCATACCTTTTCTGGATATCTCAGTTTCAGTTATTTCCTTTGAGTAACTCAGTTCTTGAAGTTTTTGTTCATCTCTGCCATGGCCAGATATTGAACTCACAACTCTTTGCTTAAAGTCACTGAATTACTTCAACCAATGCTTTTATCCACTGGGTCATCTTGCTGAAGTTGGCAAAGCCTGATTTAGAGGTTGTATTTTTTCTTTTCCTAACATAAAAGAAACGTCACATTTTAGTGTGGAAATTTAAATATCTGGAAAGTGTTTTACAAATGACAAAAACTGTGAAACCAAAATCTTAAGCAGTATTTGAATAACAAAAAAATGCTTCTAAAATCTAAACAAAATTTTTACAAACAGAAAATTTTGTGATTACTTCCATTATTTACATTATTCATACTGTTACCCGCATTTTCATTGACATATTCACAATGTTTCGGCTGTTGTACACTCCAGCCTTCATCAGGTGATTGAAATTTTGAACTGAACCCTTTATTTCATCCACCAAGGTAGATTGTTCTAGTTCCACGTGCCATGCCTCTTCCGGATGTCTCAGTTATTTCCCTTTAACTCAACTCTCCTCAATGACACATGGCCCAGTGGATAAAGATGTTGGTTAGATTCAGTGACTAGACCCAAAGAGTTGTGAGTTCAATACCAGGCCACAGCAGTGGTGAATTAAAACTTAGAGAGTTGAGTTAAAGGGAAATAACTGAGACATCCAGAAAAGGCATGGTACGTGGAACTAGAACAATCTACTTTGATGGATGAAATAAAGGGTTTGGTTTTAAATTCCAATTAGCTGAAGAAGGCCGGAACGTACAATGGCTGAAACATTGTGAATACAGCAGTGAAGATAAGAATAAAGTCTGAGTAATGTAAATAATGCAAGTAATCCTCATACCTCATCTCAGAGATATAGACAGATAGGAAATTTTGTTTGAAACAAAGAAAAGATTGCTGAAATGCTATGTTGTACCATATGGCAGTGAACATTGGTCCATTTCCACACAAATGGATAAAGACCTTAAGGCAACAGGAATGTTGTTCTACAGAAAGATGCTGAGGATACTATGAATGGATCCTGTGAAGATGTTTTAAGAAAAATTGGAATCGGAAAGTTAAAGAACTATAAACCAAAAGTTTGGAATCACCTTTTGGATTTAACAATTATTAAGTTTAATATCTTCTTTAGTTTAATTAATTCCTTATTAAGCTTGGATGCTGAAACCATTTAACCCTTATAAGTGCATGGAATCCTGTTCTTTTAGAGAAGGTTTACCTAAAATTTATAATCCATCAGCCCTAAGATTACCATAAACCAGCAAAGTAGGTTAGGCAAAAAAAAGCTAAAATTTTAAGGAAAATTTAGGCAGTGATGGGTTAATTTTACTGTAAATTTGATAAAATCTCTCTAGACAGATGGACAGTCTTGGCTTGAAAGATTCTAATGAACTAGTAAAATTAGTTTTTGAAAAAAAAGTTTTGAGGTGATTCTTTCAAATATAGAGGGTGACACCAAAATTTTGGCTTATCATTTAAGTTTCTTGGACACATAATGAGAAAAGAGGGCTTTGAGAATTTGACATAGAATATATTGAATGTACGAAGAGCAGAGGAAACCATGAGTAACCTTCCTTAACAAGCGTGTGCAAATGGACAGCAGTACAAGAACTGGGAGGGAACTTTGCTTCAAATAATATAAAGTTGTGGAGAGTTGTGGGTTGCTCGTTTTCTAAAGGGACATATCATATAAAAAAGAAAAGAATTATATTACATTAACTTTTTTGTAGTCAGCATGGCTGATACTAACCTCCATAAGAATGACTTGTTGCACCTTCTGAGGTTAATGTTCCCTGCTGACATGAAGTGGAAAGATTATATTGATATTTCTGCTGCTAGGAAATGTGTTTCACTGTGTTGTGCTAGACAGTCTTTCTCTCCAGAATCTATTTTACATATCTACAAGTATACCATTTGTCCATGCTTCGACTATTTCTGCCACATCTGGTCTGGTACTCCTGCTATATATATTTAGAGATTCTTGATAAAATCCAAGAAGTAACTGCTGTGGTATTTGTCATTATCTGGCTTCCGTTACTTTCTCACCACTGTAATGTCGCTTTCCTCTGCCTTTTCTGTAAATACTTTCATGTTCTGATGATGTTTGCTCTATAATACCTAGATTTTATGAATTTAACTGCAGTACTAGATTGACAGTTAGGGCCCATCATTTTACAGTTGAAATTTCTATGTTAACACTGTTACGGTTTTTTTGGGCATATAATGCACCTATAACTAGTGAGCGAGTCAGAATGACTTATTTCCCTTTATAGTCGACCAATGGGAGGTTGACCAATCAGAAGCCGCCCAACACTGTATTAAATGCGTTGTATAAAAGGCGGCCATCTTGTTTTAATCTACGGAAGGACCAAAGGCGACCAGGAGAAGGATGAACTACACTCTGCTGTGATATCCACTGCGAACCTAAAATACGCTTTCCTACTGTCTCCGAAATATTCACTGCTAACCTCTAGATTCAATACTCAAGGACGACCATCATGGAAATGTCTAACAAACACTTTCTTCTCTCTTGTGGAACTTGCTTCTGCCTACTTGATTTCCAGCCAACTTTGATCTTCAAAAATTTAAATGCAATGTCAATCATTATCTAATGTCTTAATTCTCAATATTTTATTATTCTCACTCATTAATAATGTTTCCTTTTTCTTATTCTTTCACACTCAGTAACCCCTTGCATCTTAGTGGCTTTATTGCCTTCCTTGAGTATAAATAATTAAAAAAAAAAAGAAATCATTTTCATAATCTTTCTTTCTTCACCTATTTGCAGATCCTGGAACGTCAGAAATCCTCATCTGTGAAGAACGGTAAGGAAGTCAAGGATCATGAATTGCCATCTTCCAAGTCTTCCTTCCTGACTACACCCGTGAGCCTGACTCCAAAGTCTCCCACGACTCCTGCAGCACAATATGTTCCTTTTGCTCCACCCACTTCCCCGAACGGTATGTTCGCTCCACCTCACAATTTGCACTATGTCTCGGCTGTGGCCACCCTACCCCGAAGCAAGTGCCGTTCCCCTTCAATAAAATCGCCCGAGGAGATCTACTCTCAGGTCCCGAAGAGAGAGATTCGTATCTCAACATCTGATATACAAAAAGCACATGAATATGATGACTGGCCAACATCCCCCTTGGACAGGGACCCTCCTCCAATCCCACCTGCATCAGCCACGCCTACTTCATGCAGGGTAAGTAATTTTAAAGACCCATTGAGCCTAGATGATTAATTTGTAAAATTTACTTGCTCAGGTTGTAATTTAATAGCAACAAATATATTTTGGCATACGTTTTACATAAATTGATTGGCTTGGTCTGTTTTGTTTACAGCATATCAACCTCAATGGGTTGTTTAATTGCTGGTAATATTTTTATTTTTCAAAAAAATATTGCTGGTAATATTTTTTTCAAAAATGCATTGCTGGTAATATTTCTTGTTTCCAAAATATATTGTTAGTAAAATTTTTTCAAAAAAAATATTGCTAGTATTAAAACATATTTTTATACTTTCATAGTGTTTTGACCCCTTTGTGGGGTTAACTTTTTACCCATAACTGGGACCCTGACAGGTGCTACCACCCTGGGTCAGGGTGGACCTGAGAACACCAGCAATTAACAAGTGGTTCCATGCTCCTCAAAACCTTCTGATCAAAGGTCATGCTGTTGGATGTAGTTTATTGTCATACCCAGGATGGCATAAATTGAAAAATGTTTTTAAGAATGTTTTATTGTAGGACATAAAAATAATTTAAACTGCTAAATGTTGTTATTAATTACTTTTTTGGTCAATAAATTTAAAGTTGTTTATTAGAACCATTGACATGTCCTTAGTGTTTCTTAGACTAAATTCTTTCAGAATGCACATTGTAATAGCAAATGTTGCCTTCCAAAAGCTAAGTAAAGTATTAAGAAACAGGAAAAAATTCATTAGAAAAAAATGGTAATGAACTGTCCTCCTATATGGCAGTGAATGCTGGACAATCTCCTCACAGATGAAGAAGAGACTTGAAGCAGCAGAAACAAAGAAAAATTTACTGAACTGTTGGACAAATCTAATAGTGATTACAGCAGGAAGACTCTATATCTGTACCATGCTGCACAACTCCCCAGACTGCAAACCCCCTTGATTAATACATGTGGGGTGCAGTTGCGTGAAAGACAAACAAAACTCCTTATAACATCAAAACTGAATTAAAAGCAAAGATTATGGCAGTATTCACCAACTTAAGCAAGGAGACTGTCCAGATGAGTTTCAGGAGATTCGGAAGTTGTCTTGAGGCCATGGTTGATGCCAATGGCAATTTTATTGAAATCTACTTTTTATTATGTCAAGATATTTTTGTGTAATTATTCTAAATATATCTGTTAAAATGAGATATCAGTGTTATTTTTATTTTTGTCCATGCTTCGGCTATTTCTGCCACATCTGGTCTAGTACTCCTGCTACATACATTTAGAGATACTTGATAAAATCCAAGAAGAATTTGCCATCTTATTTGTCATTATCTGTCTTTCGTTACTTTCTCACCACTGTAATGTAGCTTTCCTCTGCCTTTTCTATAAATACTTTCATGGTAATTGTTCTGATATGGTTTTCTTTTATTTATTTTTGCTTCATTTTGACAATAAATTATTTATCGAACCCTCTACACTAAATTACACACAGAGTATTTACAGATTTTATATAAAGAGGCCTCACTGTGGAGTAATGCATAGCCAGAGTAACCTAGGTGACTGTTTCTATTGAGTATTGAGTTTGATCCTCAATGACTATCCCATACAAAATTCAATAAAGGTTGACCTGTTGTAAAATTAACCAAAGAAAGATTTCATTAGAAACAAAGAAAAGAGTACTGAACTGTTATGCAATATCTGTCTTCCTATATAGCAGTGAATGCTAGACTATCTTCTCACAGATGAAGAAAAGACTGGAGCCAACAGAAGTGTGGTTCTGCAGAAGGATGATGAGGATATAATGGACATTGTGTTTAAGCAACATAGGAAAATAGAAACAAAAAGTTCTCATAGATCACCAAAGTTAAGGAATGTCGATCCTGGTTAGTATCTAGATGGATGACCACTTGGAAATACCACACACAATAATCAAGGGGGTTGTAGTCTATGGCCAAATGTAAGGGGTGATGTGGTTGTAGAAATTGTCTAACAGCCATGTCTGGGTTCACCTGTTTGTATGGTAAGGTACAGAATCCTGTTGCAAGACATAGGATCTCCCAGTAGTCACTATCTTGATTCAGGGCAGTACAACCTCCTCAAGGCACTTGATGTAAGTCTCTGTGTTGGGTCTAAGGCCTTGTGGGAAGATGAATGGAGGCATAATATTGCCATGATCTGTGATCACTCTAAAGACCTTCATAATCCCCATTACTCATCCAACTGTTTCTGAATCCTCTGCACTGTCCTCATATTGATACCCAAGTTTGTAATGGAGCTTCTGTTGTGAATGCCAGGCAGTATAGTATGCCATTTCCAAATTTCTCGTAGAATGAATTGTGTCATGGTGCTCTTTTTCTCACAGATGGTGACTAACTGACCTTATTATACTGTGCAGTCAACAAAAACAAATAATACACATGTGCAAAAGTAAAAATATAAAATAGTGACCATTTACCCATCACACCCTGCGCAATGGAAAACTGGATCAAAATTGTTCAAACTTTTTTTTAGCTATTGAATAAAAACGCTTTTCTCAAAGAAATCCCAGAGTTATCAAATGGTAATGTTCCATGCTTGATTTTAAGACCATGATCATTGCATGTAAAAGTCTGTTCCTTCTGTTTCACCTAATTTTTAAAATGATTTGAAATTTTCCTTATTTTTATCATAATGCTCAAAGCATGGCACAGTTTGAGAATGACAGGCCTCAATTCTTAATTCACTTATTCTTTTCTTCTAAAATCCTGGAAAGAGGATTATGGTATATAAGGCAGCCTATAGATAAGATGAGACCTAAAATCTCGGTAAAATTTTGTGATTTTATCTGATATCCGTAGTATAAGATGACCGACAGGAACCCATATGATGAAACTGTAAATCACAATGTTTATGATGAGCGCTTTACATCAGATGTTGATGATCATAGTAATTTTGAAGGTTTTTTAATTATTTATGTGGGCGTCTTACTTTTGTAACATATGGTGGTCATTATTGATTAAGTATAACTCAAGACTTCAATGTTAAAATAAAACACTATTTAATTACAACCACCAATAAATACTTAACAAGAACAGAGAAGTAAAAGTCAGCCAAAGATAATTAACCATTTCAATGAATACCTTGTTAGTAGCATGTCAAGTAAATTCTAAATCAAAACCCTAATCATCGATGCACAATAATTCACACTAATTCGACTGGATAGTTACACTTAATAATCACCACGGTTAGAAGCCTGACACCGCTATTTATACACCTAGTGGGAAACATATATTCATAAGTCAGACTCGTCACACCTTGGTGTTGGTAGTTACTCATTAGTTAGGTATTTTTTATTCTGTAATGAAAAATGCAGATTTTATGGCATCTTAAATGTTTTGTTGCTTAACATCACAAAAAAAAAATACCATGTAATGTATGTTCTTGAAAAATAGTTTCCATGTGATGCTAAATATTGTTATTTAACAGCACAATGATAATGAATTTTAATTAGAAATATAGATTGTATGTCTTTATAAATGTTGTTATATAAGACAACTTCTTCCTTTATGTGTCGTGTCCCTTCAGGATGTAGGCGATCATGGCTCTCCATTTCCTCCTGTCCTTTGTAGCTCTCAATAAGCTTTGACTTTTAACTCTCTCTCTCAAACCCTGTTCTACCATCCAATTACTGAAGCCTAATGTTACACATTGCTTTCCCTTGTCCCTCTTTCCCTGTCTGCCCTGTGAGTATCAGATTTTCCATGCCCTCTTTTCTCATTATGTGTTCCAGAAATTTCAGCTGCCTCTTCCTGTTAAGTATAAGTTTCCTTTTTGTTTGCATCCTCTCATGGTTGCTCACATGTTTCTTACATGGTATCCTCAGCATCCTTCTGTAGAACCACAGCTTTGCTGCCTCAAGTCTCTTCTTCATCTTTAAGGACATTTGTTGCTGTAATGAAGTACAGATATCACATAGCAGTTCAGCACTCTATCCTTTGTTATCGATGAAACAGGAGTAAAATAGGTTGAAGGAGTTCCATGGGATTTATAAAAGTTGACATTGCTTTGGTTTGTCTTCTTTTTTTATATGTCGTGTCCCTTCAGGACGTAGGCGATCATGGCTCTCCATTTTCTCCTGTCCTTTATAGCTCTCAATAAGCTTTGACTTTTTGTTATTTCCCTAAGACCCTGTTCTGCCATCCACTTGCTTAAACCCATTAAGTATGTCATGCATTGCTTTCCCTTGTCCCTCTTTCCCGCTATCTGCCTTGTGAGTATCAGATTTTCCAAGCCCTTCTGAAATTTCTGGGACACATTACATGTCCCAGAAATTTCAGGAGGTCTTGGAAAATTCAGCTGCCTCTTCCTGATGTTAAGTATGAGTTTGCTTTTTGTTTGTATCCTCTCCCAAACCTCACCATTGCTCACATCTCTCGTCTATGGTATCCTTAGTATCCTTCTGTAGAACCACACCTCTGTTGCCTTGAGTCTCTTCTTCATCCATGAGGAGACCATCCAACATTTGCTGCTGTAAAGGAGGACAGATATCGCATAGCTGTTTAGCTCTCTTCTCTTTGTTACCAACAAAATCCTCCTGTCTCGTAGTACTTTACCGAGCTTTTGGAATGTGTCTTTGGCAATCCCAATATGTCTTTGGATGTCAGTGTCACACTTACTGTTTTCTGTCAGAAGACTTCCCAGATATTTAAATTTCCGCATCTACTTTATTTAAGTGTTCACAACCTGTAAATCGGATTTTGGAATCGTCCTCTTACTGATGACCATGCATTCTGTCTTCTTGTAGTTTATGCTTAGTCCTTTCATCTTACACACCTTCACTACCTTCTGTAGGAGGTTTTGTAGTTTCATTTCCATGTCTGCTATCAGCACGGTGTCATGAAAATAATAGATGATAAGTCCATCACCAATAAGGATCAAATAGAGAGTATAAGTCCATGACCAATAAGGATCAAATAGAGAGTATAAGCCCATGACCAATAAGGATCAAATAGAGAGTATAAGCCCATGACCAATAAGG